GCATAGTTTATAGTATGCATATAGTTTAATCCTATGATTTTATCTCATGGAGGCTGATTTTGGAAAGGCCAATAGAAGACATTGGAACTAGTACTGTACTGGCTGTTCTGCACCAAATCTCATGAACTTTCCCCACTATTTTCAGCCATAACAACTATGTAAATTCTTCATTTGCCCACACAGGTGCCAGCTGTGGCATTGGAGACATATGCAGCTCTCTTGGAGAACCAGTGCAGCTCCCAGATTGGAGGTTCACCAAGTGACAACGGCTGGGCTGTGCCACCGTGAAAGCCTCTGGGTGAGGTTTCTTTGGGAGGCCGTGAGCTCATGGTGGTGCCAGGGCTCTCCACAGCGCCTGCTGGGGCTCCCAGCTGAGGCTGAGTCAAGAGTTCAGCAGCAAGCCCCAGCTGGCCCGCTCGGGTGTAAAGCAGTGGGACTTCCACAGTGCCATGGTCATCTCCTGCCTGCGAGCAACTCCCTGAGCCTCCCTTCCCCTCAGACTCCTGTGGGCTGCTTGTGGTTTGCAAAAATATGAGGATTTTGGTATGCTGTTCATGGGGTCAATAAACAGGCTTGCCTTGTTTTTACAGTTTATGCTCAGAAGTTGCTCTTGGAGCATGAACAAGTTCCTGCAGCGTAAGGTAGGGTGTGAGCCTGCGGTGCCTCAGCTAGGCCAGCAGAGCACTGCACCCTCTTGCCTGGAGGTTCCCTGTGAAAAACAAGAGGCAGCTCCTCTCCCCAGTGACAGGGGCACTTCTCTGCCTTTGTACATCAAAACGCAGGGCCTGAAAGCTATCTGCAGGCTCATCTGGCTGCACTTCCAGTTTGAAGCCTTGTGATCAGTCTCTGATACCCTTTACTGTCCTTTTCCTACAGTTTGTTGCGTTGCCAACGCACTGCTTTTGACATGTATTGTATTGGTGTGAATTTCGTTGTGGAAACTTGCAGTTATCAGGACAGATCTTGATTGTTGTCTCAAACTGATATTCCAGCACGTCCTTTAATCAGCTTCTATTGCAGCATAGCTAGAGGGGCTTCTTTAAGAACAAATGTTTAGATGTAGACATTCACACACTTGTAGAATAATTTATCTGGTAAAAATTTGACTTGATATTTTAAGTCCTCCTTCCTCTCAAGAAATGGTATTATGGGTTCTGTAAAATTTGACATGTGCTTATTCTCACTGTAGGAAACAGCATCTGTGTTTCCACAAACCAACAGCAACCCTGCTTTCCCTATATCTCCTTAATGGCTCTGTCTTTATTCCCAAGTCTGAGACAGAGTGATAAAGATTTCTCTTTAAGGAGAAACCCTTGGAAAGTTTTGACTCTTTCAGCAGAACGATGCCTGTTAGCATCACACACAATGTAGCTGAAAAGGAAATTGTGCATGTTTTTTATTTCTTTGCTACCATTATTAATTCATGCCTCTTTTTTTTTTTTCCCATGAGCACATAATAATGCTCACACGGATCCCTAGCTCCTGAGCTGGACACTGTGGTTAACGTCGGTGATGATAAGCCCTTGTAAGAGTGTGTATCCTCACCCCGCCACTGGAACAGAGTACCGAGCTCACAGCATTGACGCCAGGTTTAACAGCTGACATCACAGTACTTTTTGCTGTGATTGGCCCCTGCTGGTTAATCCCACTGCTGTTCATGCGATGTCAGATGCTGGTAGATGAAGGATTCACATTTACTCACTACTGTTAGTAAGACTTAAGTGAGATCTCAGCTATGGAAGGGGTGGCAGAATTTAGGCCCGGCGTGATTATTACCCTGCTGGACGATTGGAGAATCCGCGTGAGCATCTGAGAGCAGTTTACACTCACAGGGCCATAAGAGGATCTCACTGCGCTGTAAATCATGTCTCCTTTGAAGTCAAGGCAGCTCCATTAGCAGAGAAAAAGAATGAGATGAGACTCAAACACCAAAAAGTTGTGATCTTCCTCCTGCTAAGAGGCAAGTGCAGGGACTTCATTTTCCGAAGACTGCTGCTGTAGGAGCTGACACGTTTGCTTTGCATAACTATGCGCGACTCCAGCGACAGCCAGGGAAGGGAGCGGTGCTGCTCAACGCAGCCGCACGCACCAGGGGCGAGGGCAGGCGCCTGCACAGTATTGATAAGAGCGTAATGCTGGCTGGCAGGACGGGGGTACGCGGCAGGGCGCATCCACACGCTGACAGCCATTGGCACGAAGGGCTGTAGAAATGCAAAGTACCACTGCTCTACAGTTCCCATAGCCTCGCTTCTGGGTGGTTCTTTCAGACAGCCTGACAACTCTGACCAAATGCTGGCCATGTGACAAAATACCTAGTTAAAGCAATGGCATTCAGTGTGAAAATGAGCATCCTCTTTTCATATTTTATTCGCACGTGGATTGTCAGAGGATGGAGAGAGAGCGTGTTGCACCAGAGCACGTGAGCGAGGCCGCACGGCCCAGCAGCGAAGCCTGAGACCCAGCACGCCAAGGTCCGCACGCGCTCCCTGAGCAGCCGTTTTGAACACCAGCCGGTCGAGGACAGCCAAAACCCTTGGCACGCGTTTCTGACTAGCTGACCTTGAACCGCCCGCGGCCGGCCCTCGGCCAGGCAGCTCGGCAGGGCTCCCGCACCCCTCCTTCTCCCCTGGGCCGGAGGCGGGAACACGTCAGGCCAAGCTAGCGTGTTTCCAGGACGTTTTGCAATACTGCGTTCGGGGTTCCCGGTGCCTGATCATTCTTGCCCCTTCCCTTAGCCATTGATTTCAGGTTTGACAGCCGGGAGATGTGCGGGAGAGCTCTGTTTTGCCTGCCCGTGTTTTGTTCTCATTTCTTCTCCCCAGAAACTCAAGCAAAGGAGACGCTAAGCGCCTCCCCGTGGTGAGAGGGCCGGGCCCACAAGAGGCGGCGGGCTTCTTCGCCT